AACAGGGCCTAAGTTCAATTTCCCACACGACAACGGCAAAATGAAGCTGAATTACAGCTCTTTGCGGAACTTAGGGCGCGGTCCGTTTTTTTCTTTTTTTTGTAAGTTTTCACGACATCCTTGATTGTGAGCTCAATTCTCAACGTTGCGGGGCAACCTCTCGCTGTTTACCACCTCTAGCATGCTGCTCAAGCGTTAAAACTGATCGATAATATTCAATTAATTTTGGACGGGACGGGCGGGACGAGCCAAGAATTGAGCACCCCTATTGAGATTCTGCAGGGTATGACACCTTAGGACATTTTCTGAGCACCCAGCATTAGCGATACTGCTTCAATTGCCCTAAACTTTTGATATGATGTATTTGGAGGTATTGCAGAGGGCATGAAGTACCGGGATAGTACAGATTGAATGATATAGATGTACACTAACTGACTAAAAGATGGTTTAACTGGTCATATCTCAACATTGAGTGCGAACCAAGACGTCAGATTGTAGAGAGAGACCTTCTGGACGCATTTGTACTATTGATGGTACCGAATTTTATTGATGCGCCATCAATAGTACAAATGCGTCCAGAAGGTCTCTCTACAATCTGACGTCTTGGTTCGCACTCAATGTTGAGATATGACCAGGAAAATGTCCTAAGGTGTCATACCCTGCAGAATCTCAATAGGGGTGTTCAATTCTTGGCTCGTCCCGCCCGTCCCGTCCAAAATTAATTGAATATTATCGATCAGTTTTAACGCTTGAGCAGCATGCTAGAGGTAGTAAGCATGCTAGAGGTAGTAAACAGAGAGAGGTTGCCCCGCAACGTTGAGAATTGAGCTCACAATCAAGGATGTCGTGAAAACTTACAAAAAAAAGAAAAAAACGGACCGCGCCCTAAGTTCCGCAAAGAGCTGTAATTCAGCTTCATTTTGCCGTTGTCGTGTCGGAAAAATCCAAAATGTATGACACGCATCGACCTGGGCATGTCAGAGAAAATCAGACGGTCAGGATTTTTGAGGGTTGAAAAGCGTCAGAAAACCCGGATGATCCCTGATCAGGATGACCGACCTGATCAGCCTGATACAGCCTGATCAGCCTGATGCTGCCTGATCAGGCAGGCTGCTTGTTGGACTTGGAGGTGATCGCCTCCTTGAAGGTTGGGTCGCTATCAAGGTAATCCTGTCACAGGGGCGGATCGTATTGCGAAGACGGAGAAAGCAGGTCCTGCAGTGCGTTGATTTCCGAATCAGGGACCCATCCGGCGACGGACACGAGACGGGGGGAGAGGCAAGAGAGGACGAGTGGGGCGGGAGCTCCAGCAAGGAAAGGGAACAGGGGGGAAACAGCACTGGGGGCGGAGGTGGAGGGGGCAGGAGCGGTGACGGCGCGGGCGAGGAAGACTGGGCAGGCGGCGGCGGGGCCAGCTTGGGAGGATTGGCAGAGCGGCCCCCGAACACTGGAGAATAACCCTAGCAAGTATCATCCATACTCTCTCCTGTGGCCGCCTGACGAGCCTTTTTATTTCAGCTGAAACTAACCGGACGATGAAAGCGGGGTCACTCTTCGAGCAGAAGAAAGCCCTGCTTCCCGTATTGGAAGCTCTGGACGAGACTCTGAAAGGTGAGCTGCGCCTTGTATCTTGTGTGAATGCCTCACGAGCCCTGGTGCCAGATAATGAGCTGACCGTCGATGATGAGCGCGCTGGACTCTACTATGGGTTCTCCAAGGCGAGACGTATGGAGCTGGATTACCGCGCGGCCCACCCGCAAGTCTCGGCGGTGGTCAATGCGGACGTATGGGAATCAGAAGAAGAAGCGGTTGCGTGGGTGTCAGAAGAAGATGCGCAGGATGAGCGAATGGTAAAAGATTTTTAACTTATAAATTGTATCAGGACTCGTCCTGCAACATTTGGGCATCGAGTGCATTTGACGAGATCTTTTGATCCCGATGATTTCCAAATTCCGACCACCACCATCAAAAAGCGAAAATCGTCGGATGACGTCGATCCCAACGAGGAGGTGCCTCTAGAAGCCTATATCAGCTCTAGACACCCCTCACCTCTGAGCGTTGTATCGGAAAAAACGTCGATTTCCCGTTTGCGCTGTCATTTGGTGCGGTTAAGGACCTGTGGCATTCTACTTGCCTGTGCACCCACTGTTGCACCGCAGTCCCCCTTCTGCCCGTACAGGCACAACCCAGAGCTTACCACACACTCGCCCCCCCTCATTCTACCTTGTTGGCCTAAAAAATGCAGGCTAATAAAAGGTGTTCCAAAGGTGTTCGGCCAGTTGGATGGTCGCTAGTTCGGGATATTCGATAGGAATATGCTGAAGGTACCACTTGAAATATGTCATCAACAAAAACGTATCCACTTCCAACCACATTCAATCTCAGTCGTTTAACCGTTGTGCAACTCCACTTACGGATATTTTTGCTTCTCCCTTGCCCGACGTTGTTTCAAAGTTTTGGATCTTCCACCGGAGACCGAAACCGCCAACCACGACGAGGACGCTACCAGGACGGCGAGTCCCCATTGACCTCACTTTGGGCTTGGAGAGGGTGACCTTGACCCCGCTTGACTAAAGAAGGGTTCTAATCTCCGCATACAAGTTGCACACAGTTGGACTGAACTTTCTTTCCATATTCATGTGAAATACCACAGAAACGTTGAGATGCTACCTGCGATGCCCTTCGAGTCGCTTCGCCTACTCGGAGCCCTATTGTTAGCCCTGTTTCTCGGTCATGCCCTTTAAGGTGCCCTTGGGCGAACTAACAACTGTTGCCCAGCGGTTAGCCATGTCAACGCCTGCGTGTCCGAGAGACCCGATGGCATCAAGGCCGTCCTCGGCTGCCTCTGTATCTACTACTGTGCAAGAGGTGCTGGTTGTCACCTGGTGCTAAATGTCATGCGAGGACTTCTGAACGTCGAGCACTGTATTACGCACCCATATCTCTAGTTCACGGATAGCTGTCGATCGAGACGCTTCATGGTGCCTGGCGCACTGAAAGAAATCTTGGATAAGACAAATATGTCATGATCTGGGGTAGTACTGACGATGCTATGCGCAGCTTCCTTCGTTTCATCCCAGGACTTGAAGATCACCCGCGTAACACGAACAAGGAAAATGATGCTCATGACGCACCTATAGCCAACGGAAACGTCAGCAACGAATAAAATTGGAGGTGGTGGACGCACATTAGATGGTAGGTAGAAGGAAAGCGGGTTCCTGATGCCTCCCACGGTTGGCGCGGATTTTATTTAGAACAGCGTGGGGAATAACTTAGAAGCCTTGAAGACAGACAGGGGGTTCCCTGTTCCAAAAACAGCTATTTATGCTCGATTTGGACAACATTCGGGTGTGTGAATGCCGTGTCTTGTACGGATTACCAGCCGGATCGAAAAGTGGTATTAGACTACTGTAAAACAAGTTTTATCTTCTTCAAACTACTGTATTATTTCGTTCAATTCGGCAAGGGGTGTGTGACACATGACGAAAATCCATTTCGGCAGTTCGGCAGCCGCCAAAATTTCGCGTGACACCCGCGAAAATTCATCCGAGACCTGTGAGTATAATACATCCCCCTGTTCAATTGTGAAGCACGGGACAATCTCAAGGTGAAAGCCATTGAGGAAGCCTATGCCAATCATCAGGCATTCAGGATTCATCACCAGGAAGGATACTAGTCAGATCAGCCCGCTTTCAAGCCTTGCTTTGGCTGTGATCTCTACTCACCCGCTTCATCTGCTGCCATCGTAGCTGCACCCCCTGCACAGCCGATCATCTGCGTAGGTTGTGGCAGGCCCAATCACACTTTCTTCCAAGGCTTCCAATTTCTGGAGCTTATTGTAAAGAAACCAGTTCACAAAGGTGCAGCAGCAAAGTCCCAAGTTACTTCTAATGCAAGTGTTCTCTCCCTCCTCACTTCGTTGCTTTCTGACCGACGATGGAACTCAGACTCAGGGTGCACTTCGCATATGACCCGTTTTAGGGATTGGCTCTTAAATGCCTGCCCTTGCAGAGTTCCAGTTATCATCGCGAATGGAGTTGTAGTCTATTCAGAATTGGTGGGAGAGATACTGCAGGCCATGCATACACGGAGGTAGTAGCCGACCTATTATCCTCACAAATGTCTTATATGTTCCATCTTTATCTCACAATCTCATCTCTACTACCTATTTATCTCGTGTTCATTGCTACTCTATTCTCATGAAAGGATCTGTCATCTCCTTCAGTCAAGAGGTGACATTGCCTCTTGATCAGGACTTGCTGCATTGTCGGCTTGACCACCACTTTGATACTCAGAGGATCTTGAGCAAGGGTTTGGTGAATGGTGTGACGCTTACTTCAAACCAGAAGCCAGATCCAATTTGTGAGCATAGGAATATGCATCACATGTACAGCATCTGGATCCATCAGGATACCAGTGCACACAAGCAGTAAGTAATGTCCATGGAGTAAGGATAAGTCCGAAGTAAGTGTAAACCGAGAATGGCACAGTCCAACCAAAGGCTGCAACCATTACTTGCGCTCTGAAGGCATTGTTCGTCATCATTCCAACGAGGAACAGACCTGAGCAGAATGGAATGGCAGAACACAGTAATCACACTGTCAATGAGCACACAACGGCTATGCATCATGGAGCTAATCTGCCACCTTTCAATGTGCTTTTGCAATTGCCCCATACATTCCTTTTGCTAATTGATGTGTATCCAACATCTCACATTCCGGAGAACACCACTCCATATGAGCTTTGGTACAGAGTGAACAGCAGCTTGAGCTGACTGCACTGCTGCAACATTTGCTGCTTGAAGTACAGAGCTTGTTGGATTGCCTTCATGTGCAACAATTAGAACGCTCCCTGGCTGCAGGAGCAGGTCATCATCGCTGCTGTCCTCTGCATCGCTCGAAATAGCCAGAGTAGGCTCTTGATAAGCAGGCTAAGTCTTCCACCACTCTGCTGCAGGCCTATGTGTTGAAGGTCCTATTGGGAGCTCCCTTCACACTATCAGCAGAATAGCTCAGTTGGATAGAGCACCGGTTATACAAACCAGGAGGTCGCAGGTTTGAATCCTGCTTCAGCCATTTTTCCAACACTATGCTCCATTGTTTGACCATGGTGCTTGCGACGTGCAGCAACACCAATAGAAGAAGGAGGAGGTGTAGGGTCTGGTGTAGAAGCAGAAGGTGCAGGCTCAGGCTCTCGTTAATGATAGGCAAATCCCAAATTCTAATTTCGCAACTCCCCTATTTCTTCATCCAGGACTTGTATCTATTTGCTGCCTGTGTTGGAAAAATGGCTGAAGCAGGATTCAAACTTGCAACCTCCTGGTTTGTATAACTGGTGCTCTATCCAACTGAGCTATTTGTGAAGGGAACTCCCAATACAGAAATACACCAGACCCTGCACAACACAGTGCTGTAAGCAAGCACATTGCATGCATTGCACATTTGGCGGTCAGGAAACATTAAATATGGTAAGTCCTCCACTATGCCATCTGTTGACAGTGAAGCTGTGTTCGAGGGAAGCACAGCATTAGCATTTGAGTTGAATGGCAGAGTTTGGGAGGGGTTTCCAAAGTGCAGAACAGACCAAGTTGAGACTGGTTGCACAAAACAGTGCTGGGAGCAAGTGCACAGCATGCATTCCATATCTGGTGGTTAGTTCAGCTGAGAGGGCTACAAATATTGTGTGCTCTATGTTGATGATCATACAGGCTTTGCTCCCTGAGGAATAGACACATACCCTACTTATATATACATTGAAATGCACTGCTTAGATGGCAGTGCATGTATCAGTGCACACAGCAGTAAGGCTGTATGCACAGGAATATGAACAGAGACCACTCAAAGTTTGGTCTGTTCTGCTGCACATTGGACATTCTGCCCTTCAATTCAAGTGCTATTCCTCCCTTGAACACAGTTTCACTGCCAGCAGATGGCCTAGTGAAGGACTTACCATATTTAACATTTCCTAACCGCCAGATATGGAATGCATGCTGTGTACTTGCTCCCAGCACTGTTTTGTGCAACCAGTCTCAACTTGGTCTGTTCTGCACTTTGGAAACCCCTCCCAAACTCTGCCATTCAACTCAAATGCTAATGCTGTGCTTCCCTCGAACACAGCTTCACTGTCAGCAGATGGCATAGTGGAGGACTTACCATATTTAACGTTTCCTGGCCACCAAATATGCAATGTGCTTGCTTGCAGCACTGTTTTGTGCAACCAGTTTCAGCTCAGGGAGACCTGACTCTGCAGCAATGATGTGCTACATATGGGCAGCCCAGTGCTGCAGAGACTGCGCAAACTGCTGGAGCTACATAGCTGATGTGTTGTGCTGCTACAGGCAGCTACATCCTGCAACATATTTAACCAGGCCACATGGATGCTGAAACAGCCAGTGCCTTGAAAGATGGCGGAAGAATGGCTTCATGCAGCATGGCCGTTGTGTGCGCAATTGCCTCGTTCTACAGTCCCGTTCTGTTGCAGTCTTTTCCTCGTCGAATGCTGCAACATTCGCTGCTTGAAGCGTAGAGCTCATTGGATCGCCTTCATGTGCAACAATGAGAACACTCCCTGGCTGAAGGAGCAGTTCATCATTGCTACTCTCCTCTGGAGGTGTAGGCGAATTAGGAGGTTTTGGAGGCTGTTCTGGAGGTGGAGGTGAATTAGGACGAGTTGAAGGCTCTGAAAGTGGAGGGGAAGGATTTGGAGTAGATGGATTGGGAGTTGGTGCAGGGGGTGCTCAATGAATACGAGACTCATCCTCATCTCCCCCGTCATTGTGCACAACATGTGGCTTAGCGGAAGGAGGTAAATCAACGAAGGTGGATTCCACAAAATGTGGTTCAGTAATGAAGGCTTGTTTCCAGGGAAGTAGCGCTCATCAAAGACAGCACGCTCAGATGTGACCAGCTTTCTGGTGACAGGGTTGTAGAACAACCACCCCTTGTACTCTGTAGGATATCCTACAAAGATGCACTTCTGGAAATGAAGCCCAGAAGGCGTCCCTCTTATCCTTCTGCACATGCACGTATGCAAGGCAGCCCCACACCCGAAGGTGTGACACATCCGGCTTCTGCTTGTACCAAAGCTCATAAGGAGTGGTGTTCTCCAGAAAACTTGCTGAAAGTTGGTGCTGCAGGCTGAAAATTTCTTGGTTTTTGTGCTGACTTCAAAGTTTTTAAAGCCATGTTATACTGGCAGAATGCTGTAGCTCAGATACCAGATACACCCTCTCTTTTCTTTTTGCTTCCCTTTCTTTCTTTCCTTTTTTGGCAAGTATTATTATTTTCCCCTTTATACCCACAACACCGCTATCTTGCCAAGTGATGCATGATGAGTTGTTGTGCCTTGTTCATTCCATGGCTTCAGAAGGAACTGAATGGATATAGGGTCTGAATCAACAACACTGCCGGGTCTGTATCCGCATTCACCAATCTGCTACGAGCTCTGCTGACTGGCAATCCCATCCCTCAGGACTTCGTACAAGCCAGTATCTTACAAAAACAGCCCCCACACAACTTGGCCCCACCCTCTCATGCCGATTGGCAACCAACTGTTGGTGTTATCGCTGGCAAGTTTGCTCTCTGCAGGAATTATTTATGGCTGATTGCTTCCAGCTCTTACCCTATGTAGGCGATCTCCGTCTGGCTCAGGTAGAAGTCACACAAATGACCTGGATGCATCTCAACGAGGTCCAGTTGTTCCAACAACTGTCGGGAAAGCCATCTCTGACTAATAAACTTTACTTCAATTGAATAGGCGCTGGATAGATTTTGGACCTTACTCTGGGAGAGGAGTCAGCCCTGCACATCAAAAAGGTCTGGACATCCCGTCATTTGGACTGTCTCTCAATGAGATCATTAGCTCCAACATTGCAATCAGTGGCAGCAATGATGTGCTACACATGAAACTACGCAAACTACTGGAGCTACATAGCTAGCCAACATGTTGTGCTACAGGCAGCTACATCCTGTAACATATGTAACCAGGCAACTAATTGCCAGACAGTTTTTCCTGATGATGACTAGCCATGTTGTTGGGGTCATAGATGGAGTAGAACAGCAAGAAATTGGATTGGTGCTGGTGCTTGACAATGATGGCATCATCATTGGGCCCGACTAGTGGTCTCGACCACCTCAACTTCAGAGTCAGAATTGGAGACTTGGGGCTGCTTTTGTTGCTGGACCTTCAGTTGTGCATGGATGGTGCAGCTGTTGCAGCTCTGCATAGTGGCGCTCGGAATCTCTGCTAAGCCTGAGTTGTAGACAAGGTATAGGAACCTCGAGTGTGGGTTTCCCTGATCCAGGCCTCCATCAACTTCGAAGGGTTCCGAGTCTTGGAAGCTGATACAGCTAGTGCAGTTAGCAAACCATCGCTGCAGCCAGTTGACGGCTCGCAACTCATGGACAAGGCAAGGTCTACAACTACGCTGAAACTCCGCCAATATCTCCGTGTCCCGGTACCTGCTCATTGCAAGGCACTGACTCGCCTCCTTCTCTCGTCCCATACCTTGAGCATTGAGATCCTACGCTATAAAAAGCGCTTGAAGGAGCGTGTCCCCAGGGACTCGCGTCTCTGCCGTTTCTGCCGTCTGGCAGTGGAAAGCGAGAGTCATGCGTTACTCGGATGCACAGCGCCGGCACTCGTGGCGATTCGGTACGACTTCCTTGCGGATGTATACAGTCTTGTCCCGGAAACACCACACACCTGGCCTTCATTCGATGTCGCGCTCCGTGATTTGGTCCACACCCGTGACTTCGACCTTATCCAACGCCTGGCGAAGTATACCTATGACGTATTCGCAGTTTACTCTGCATGCCCTATATTCCGTCCAGCAGAGTATCTATATCACACACTGGAATCATATTATGTTCCCTCATGCCCGATCCTGGAGGCCGGGCCACCCTCGGGTTCTGGCTGCATCTCGTTGATCCAACAGGTATTTGATTTTTTGGTACCTAATGTTGTGGGAGATGCAGACAGGTACTCAGGTGTTGAAGTGGTCAGATGGAAAAGGTATCCGTAGCATACATTTGACGCATGTATGTAGTACGGGCCCGGCTGTTTCTTAGCGGGACCGCGCCGGAATATACCTACCTACCTCCCGTTTTTATTCTTGTGCTGACCAATGTTGAGTGACTAAATTCTTGTTTGTACATGTAGCAAAAGGGAACGAAATCCATTTACCCTGGGTACCTGAACCTAAATGTTCAGCAATGACATCGTGGCAAAAGCATGTGTGCCAGCGCTGGCTCTACAACTGAAAACCCAATTTGGCACGCAAGGCACGGATTCTTGCCGTATTGCGAAGCCTACAGGACACCTGTGCCCTAGATCTTTCGCATGGACACGTATATGATACGGATGGACATTGTGAAAGTGTTATTAGGACAGTATGACTCTAGGTGGTGAAGAGTAGGGCCTGAAATATCGAAATTTGATGAAATTCTCAGTTAGCATGATCCCTTCGAGCTTGGTGGCCAGGAACCATAATAATATACATGGGTTATAGACTATAGATCCATGGCACGGATACCCTATGTACACCGTCTGAGAACAAAGATCTCGGGAAATGGCCAAGTTTTGGCCGAGAAATGTTCGAATGTACGAGTTCTCGGTTTGTCCGAGCCGGTGGGGGGGATAGTATATTCTGCCTTGACCCGAGTTCCCGACTCCGAAAATGGTCTCATTTTGAAGTATGAAGATGATCCATCGACTCGGACTACCAATATTGTCTGGGACAAACTACTTTTGTAATATTGACTCATAATCAATTATAAACTTGACCTCGAGCTCAGTAAAGATGCTGGCCCGCTTCGGTAGTGTATAAGTTAGCACGGTGAGATGGACAGGAGGGAATGGCTCACAAAGTCTGATTTCATTGTGAGGTTGTGAACCGAAAAAAACCAGGGAGAACAAATAGTGAGCCTTGATTTCGTGCCCATGAGTTCAGCTACAGGCAAAGAAAAATAAGACAGGATTGAACGCAACAATACTCCGTGGATATTGGGTAAGAATAGTGAAAATCTGGCCAAAGATCAGCTTCATGGGTTCCAGATTAATGTTCTGGAGCTGTAAG